TACCCTTCCTTATTTCCCTCAATCCACAGAAAGTGACCCCTTGTTCCAGTCAACCGGGGTTATTTGTTGTCCTTAAAAGACAACCAAGACTTCCCCACCTCCAGGTTCTTGCTGCCTCATGGGTATGTGCTATTTGTGCCACACCATAGACTGTAGCTTTAGTTAAGGATTTAGTTCTTTATATATATGTGTGTGTGTTTTAAATATACTTCATTGAGGCATAAATTAAATACAAAAATGCACCATTGTGACGAGTTCACCTTGATGAATTTTGACAATGTGTACATCTGTGGAACTACCACCACGATCAAGGTGGAACATTGCCACAAGCCACAAAAAGTATCTTTCTCTTAGCAGTCATTCCTTACCTCGGTTCCAGGTTACCACATCTGCTGTCTGCCATTAGAGATTTAAAATTTAAAATTTTTGCTTCTTCTAGAATGACACAGAAATGCAATCATACAGTAACTATTCTTTTGTTTCTGGCTTCTTTCATCCACGATCATGTTGTTCTGTGCATGTACTGTACATCTTCTCTTATTGCTAAGCGCCACTCCTTTCTACGGCTCTTACTCTTTTATCCATTTATCGGCTGATGGGCATTTGGATTGTTTCCGGTTTATGGCCGTTATGAATATTTATCTGAAAGTCTTTCTACGACAGGTGCTTTTGTTTCTTTTGGGGAAACGCCTAGGATGGGTCGTTAGGTCATACGTTAGGTTGATAACGGATCATAGTTCCATCTTTTTTCAAAGGGGCTGTGTACCATGTCACAGACCCTCAAGTCGCGTAGGAGACTGCAAGATTTGCCAGTCTCTGCATCATCATCATGTCTGTTCTAGGCAGTGGTTTTGCTCTTCTACTTGTTTTGTTCTATTTTAATTTTAGTCTTTCAAATGAACAGGTCATGGAATTTAAAGGCAGGTTAATGCATTTAATGCATTAAATGCATGGTATTTAAACTGCAGTTTTATTTACGTTTCCCTAATGATTAAAGATGTTGAGAATATAGCCACGTGTTCATGGGTTCCTTGTCCAGCTTTTGTGAAGAGATTGTTCAAGTTACTGTATCTTTTTATTGTTTTTGTCCGTTTATTTTAAAATTTGTTGGTTTTTTTCTTTTATTTCTTCCAGTATATGGCTTGCCTTTTCACTTTCCTGATGATATCTTTTGAAAGGTACAAGTTTTTAATTTCAATTAACCCCAATTTGCTCTTTTTAAAAAAATAAGGTAAGGACTTCAGTGTGTGGTCTGAGCAATATTTGTATGTCTACTATTACAAAAATATATGATTTCCTGTAGAAATATTATAGAGTCACGTTTTATGCTTAGGACATTCTTTAACATTTGCCTTCAGTGAGAGGTATAAATGTGAAGTTAATTTTTTTTCATAAGACTGTCAAATTGTTCCAGAAATATTTATTATTTGAAATGACCATCTTTTCTTCATTGAATTCAACTGGCATCTTCGTCAAAATTTAATTGACCTTAAATGCATGGATCTCTTTCTGAACCGCCCCCTCCCTTTTTAAAAATTTCTTCTGGTTTATTAAACCTAGGATTTAGTTCTTGCATTGCCCCTGTGCAGACCTCATCTCTACAACTACACCATAAACTGCTTGACATGGTCAGGTCTTCTGGATATAAGCACTTATAGTGCTTATATAGTGCCTGGCCCCAAGGGGGTGCTCATATTTTTGTTTTTAATAGCAGAGTCTACATAACAAATAGCAAATGGTCACACAAAAAAATCAAGACTGGACCCATACATGTTCTGGAAATGATATCTGACTAGCGCAGCATGACTCAAGTGTACGGAATTTGGCTAGCAATGATTCTAACAGCAGCCAACAGTTACTGAATGACTGCTGTATGCCTGGCACTTTTCTCCATGCGTTACCTAACTGGGAAGTAACTACAGTGTCTATCCTCATTTTACAGACAGGGAAAACAGAGGCACAGAGAGGCTGGGTAGATGCTCATGCTGGTAAAGTAGAACTGGGCTTCAAACCCAAGCAGTCTGGTTCCAAATTCAGAGCATAAGCATGCCACAATATTGTCTCTCTACAGGGAAGCAAAGGGGACTTGGAGAGGGTAGGCTGGGAACACCCAGGAACCAGAGAAAAGAGCTACCAAACTTGCATCATTCTTGAGGCTTATGTGCAATGCTTACCTGAGCAAATATGTGGTAAAATAAATAATCATTTCAGCAACTAAATAGGTTCTTTGGTTTCTTAGGGTTTCAGGTGGTTGACTTTAAAATGCAATTTAAAATACATTCACAAAACGATGAGCTCGGAAATGATTGAGTGACTTTCTTTTCTTTTCATTAGGTATCTATTTATACACATAATTAGAAATTTTCCATATGTCTACTGATCCTATCACAGAGATAAATTATTTATAATTTATGATGCAATAACCACCCTCACCTGGTTAGAGAATGATAAATCATTAACATCACTGGCAAAAGCAGAAGTCTCTTGACTACACCACAGCCAGAAGTAAAAATATTAATTACAGCAGAGGGAAACTATAATTGCACAGCAAATACTATATGCATCAAATATAAACACATACCACTGTATAGATCCTAGACTGGGCCTAGGCCCAGTTGGTTAATAAAATTGTTTTAATTGTTTGTTTTGGTGATTTCTGTTGTACAAAGTCAATAGGACAGAAGAACAGAACCACAGATAACCATAATACACTTCAGCATCAGGGCTGTACAAGATCAGGGGAAGGAATCTAGAAAAATGACAACCATAAAATGCCACCTGCCCTTTGTTTTCTTATGGCTTTAATTTTCAGCATAAATAAGTATTGGGGATAAAAAGAAAATATGCATTGTTCCTGCCTATGTAAGCCCAATGGTTCTCAGACAGTCCCATTTTTACTTAACAGCATGTTGTTCATGAATCTTCTGCACTGTTGCGTTATTTCACACAAAGCAGCCTTCACCCCCACCCTGGCCCTGCCTCAGATGCTGACCTGAGGTGCTCACTTTGGTTGGTACCTAAAACCACATGTGGCATTCCTAAAAGCCTCGGAGAGAGTGGCCAGTTTCTCGGGGCAGAATGAAAGGTCACCTGGTTAATGCCCAGAACCCGGTCGACGGAAGAGCTTAACTAGATGAGATGCAACGCACAGAGTCAAGTTTGCTCAGAACTTCCGCTAGGGGGCCCTGGTGTCTGTACACGCTTCACCAGGACAGGCTGTGCCGTCCTGCGACTGGACAAGAAGGTCTGGGTGAAGGTGAGGGGTGACAGGTGCCCAGCCACATCAGCAGAAGTAACTCTGAAAGTCAACGGGATGACAGTTGTCCCCAGATGGGATAAGCCAGGCAGCTGATTTCATTTTTTTGACTATTATTTACTTAATTGATTAATATTGAGGGAGGGTAAACTGAGAAGTAAAAGTACATCATTTTGTTTTTCTCTTGGTAATCTAGAACCTGAGGCCCTGAGGGTTGCTATAAAGAGGAACAATTCAAAATCCCCCTTTCAGAGATGCCTGGGTGGCTCAGTAGGTTGAGAAACTGCTTTCAGCTCAGGTCATGTTCCCAGGGTCCTGGGACCGAGCCCCACATCTGCTCCTTGCTCCGCAAGGAGCCTGCTTCTTCCTCTGCCTGTCACTCCCCCTGCTTTGTGCTCTGTCTCTCTGACAAATAAATAAATAAAATATTTTTTAAAAATCCCCTTTCAGTAGCAAGCCCCCTATTTCTAAAAGGCAGGTGATGAAAAAAAGTACGTTTGGAGGTATGTAGAAAACCCAAGTGTCCCCAAGATGGGATCAGTATGAAACATCTGTACGTGTACAAAGCAGCACATGTGATGATGAGTTAACAGTAAAACAAAGACTTAAGGAAATTACGAGGCAAACTTCCCTGAAGTCTCTCAGTAGTTATTTGGGTCTGAGGGTGATTTTGTATTTTGTGACGTTATATTTTCTAATTTCACTGAAGGAAAGCTAACCAAATGCGTGGATTTTATTTTATTTATTTTTATTTTTATTTCTTTTGCCGCAGCCTCAAAATGCCTTAGGGCTAATTCAAGCCTGGTTCAGTGGCAATCAGTTGTCTCAGAGGCCGCCTGCATGTTTAAATAGCTTCTCGCCTATTTATTTTGCACTGTTTTATCCTGTAAGCTGTCTCAAGGCCCTTCCAGTATAAGCAGGAGGATTTAAATCTTAATAAATTGAGATTTGAATAACAGAGGCAATCTGGGTTTGGAGGTCTTGAATGATTAGGATAAATATCTCTATTCCGATTCTCAAATTATGCATGTGCTATAACACATTGCCCTTGATCGGCATCGGTAATAATTAAAACAGTAACAACAGCAACAAGAAAGATAATATTTAGGTTGAAACAGCACTTTTCAGTTTATAAGGAACTTTTATTCACAGTTTTTCATTCTATCCTTGGAATAGTTCTAAGAGGTAGGAAGAACATGTGTTATGCCCACTTTATAGATGAAGAAACTGAGTCACTAAAACATTAAGACAAGCCCACAACAAGAGGGGCAGGGGATGGCACTAGGACCAGAACCCAGTTCTTTCCAATGGCTTTGCCATAAATTGGCCAGATGTATCAACATATGTGGGCCAATAATAAGACTTTCAATCACATTCCGATTAAACTACTGGAAATACCTTCCTATAAAGCTTTTAACAGGGACACTACAGAAATCCAGAGTCATTTCTTTTTTAAAAAAGATAACCAAAGGGATAGTTTATCAGTTCTATCAGTTGTAGGTCTGGAAGTGACAAACGATTAATGCTCAAATACTTTTCTCTAGCCTCCTATTATTTTGACGGAAGACATAAAAATATATATGACTTGCTTAATTGTAATTTAACACCAAAATATTTATTCTGTCTTGTCATCTCTCATCACTCAAAATGCTGAGGAGTTGAATTTTCAGACACAGGAGAAGTCACATCACAAAGACACATTCTAACATTAATAGAAACAACAACAACAATTAAAAAGGCTTACCTTGCAGCCTTCACATGTAATGACACCATAATGGATTCCTGATGATTTGTCTCCACAGATCTTGCAAGGAATAATTTCAATTTGAGCTGCAACAGAAGCACGCAACCAGTTAATTACATTTTCTTTTAAACACCTTATAAAAGCGTTCCCTGATCAGCATTTGTATAGTGAAAACTAATAACCTGCTAAACATTATACTGCATTAACTATTCATTGCTGAACTGTGAGGGTCCCCCTAGAGCCCTGGACTAAATTATGGCTGCTCGTTATATAATAGCTTTCGGGTTATTAAAATGGGTCATTTGAGAAGGTGTTTAAGAACCCACAAGAAGACTGGAATCAGCATTTCAAAGCCTTCAAGAACTGGAGAGCTCGCAGTTTAGGCCTCAGAGCAAAGCAGATACTAAAATGTTTCCTCCGATCTCATTTTCCATCATTATTTTTAAAAGGTCATAAATCTGTCTTGGCTGAGCATTATAGCTCCACTGGTAGGGAAAAAAATATATACTCCAGAAAGTCAAGACTACTTAGGAAAATGATTCAATTCAAAATATTAATAAGTTACATATGCCGGCAAGTTAAGAATGCCTTAATCATCTTTTTTAATTAATGTAGTTGGCATGTGTTAAAAATCAGTCCATTTGTGTACGATCAAAACCTTTCAACCATAAAGTTAATATCCTATCTGAATTTAATAATGGTGAATCCTAACGAATAGTATATGTAGTTTCTCAGTTCTTTATGCTAGAAACTGATTGCCCGGTACAGTGTGCATATGTTTCTAACCAACGGATCACTTGAAGATGCCTCACATTGGAAGACCACCCAATGTCTAATAGCTATCACACCGAAGTTCTCAAATATGACAAAGCACATTTCTAAGCAAACACAATATACCTTGAGCACAGCTGGTTGGAAAGGACATAAGTAAAGGATTAAAAAAAAAATAACCTCAGCAATAATTAGACAAAATGAAGTTCTTGGCCCACTTATTAAATATGACTTATATGTGAAATGAAGAAGAACAATATTGAGCTGTATACGGAGGGTGGCAATGTTCACCAGTGTACCCAGAATATCCCATTACACTAAGTTTTATTTTCCACAGTTTTCACTATGGCTATCATGTCAGATTACTATATCACACACACAAACACAATTGTAAGAGCGTTAAGCGTACTTCATTTTCATACAGCCCCTACCTAGCCCCATGATTTACACAATGCAATGACGTATCCAAGGAATATGTTGCATCTTGTGAGGAACACACACATGCATACAGCCCGCTCTTCCTTCCAGTATAATCCCATACCCTGGAATAATCTCCACAACCACTTACTCTGGATTTGATGTAACGTTTGCATTCAATACTCAGAAACAGTATACATTAAATTATTGGATTTAGCCTCATTATAAACCATGTGTACCTGCTGACTTCCTTTCCAGGGGACTAGTACAAGTACTGTGATGACTTTTTAGGGAGTACAAGCTATTCCAGATGGAGAGTCCCTTTTCATGTCTATCATTTTTTTTTAGATTTATTTAGTTATTTTAGAGAGGGGAGAAAGAGAGTGAGTGAGTGAGTGTGGAAGCGGGGATAAGGGCAGAGAGAGAGGAAGAAGGGAGAGAGAATCTTAAACAGACTCTACGTTGAGCGCGAAGCCTGCCAAGGGGCTAGATCTTATGAACCTGAGCTGAAACCAAGAGTGAGACGCTTAACCGACTGTGCCACCCAGGTGCCCCTCACATCAGTCACTTTTTGTGTTGACATAGTGATCACTGTCCAGTTAGAGACTGCTTAAAATTTCACATCCAATATATTTTCCGTAATGGGTAAGCCTTCTAATACATCAATAATGGTGTCTTTGTATACTGTCTATTCTGAGCTCCGCAGCCCAATGTGTGGTAAAGTCGCATTCAACAAAAATGATAATTTCTAAGTCTGCCTCATCTTAGTGTCTTATTTGATTGCTTCAAGGAAATTCTTTATGAAATCTGAGCTCTAATGATGCTTCACATTGATAGCCCCCCTCTGATACTTTTAATAGAGTCAAGGCCAAGTTTTGTGTCACATATTGTCTGTAGCTTTAGACAGAGTTACGTCCAACATTTTTGAGACACAAAAGCCACGCGGTGGTACAGATATTCTGAAAGGTGCTATCAGCTGAGAGTGATGGCCTGGATTTTCCCACAGGAATTAACTAGTCTGTAATGAGAACCAGCCTCTCCCACCCCAAGCCCTAAGGAATAGAATAATTGGGCAACATAAAGTACTTGGACCACCTATTAAACAAAATTTATATGTGAAATAAAAAGACTGACACTGAGCTGCTTCTGCTTATGTCTTACCTCAAGCCGTAATCACAGAAATCAGACACAAACAAACTAGGCTAAACCCTGTAGTTTAAGTAGGCATCAAAACGATGTGAGGCAATTAAAGCAGCCTCAGAGCTGAGCTCCAGACCTTTTAAGAGTTACCTTCCTTCCAGCTTAACAATGGAGAGATCAAGCACATCTATTTATTTAGCTCTTTATAAGTTATGAAGGCCCTGGGCAGACCATATTGGGAACACTGAGTAGAACTATCTGGATCAAATGGAGAATAATGTATTGCTATTCATTCTGCCTGGGCTCCTAGTGGATTACGCATGAGAAATGAAATGGTAATGTTTAAGGCAGGTCCAAAATGCCTGCCAATGACTGCTGTGATCCTACAAGTGATATGGAGATCTGGCATGGAGGGGTCTGTTCGTGATGGCGGTGGCCCTGGGATCATAGCCTGGCACTTCTGCCCTTGGAATGACTCATGGCCTGGCTGCGGGGGCGGGAGGTGGTAATGGAAGGGAAGGCGGGAGGGTAATGGTAGCACAAACCGAGAGTTTGGTGTCAACTGCTGCACTGATAGGGCTGCTGGCTTGAGTCAGGCTCCTTCCTTCAGTTCCTAGGGTCCTAGCATCTGGAGGGCACTCAGCTGAGACTTATTTCCCAAGATTTATGGAGGTTAAGATGCTTAATATGAATGGATTCACTGTAGATTGACCTGTATTTTCAAGCACGGGCCATGAGCCTTGACCTTTGACCCCCACCGTGTTTGTGCTTCATTCCTGTGGACAATGTTGGCCAAAGAATGGGAATTAGAAAAGCTTCACCAGAAATCTCATGGTAAGGTGATGGGAGGGTTCTCCACAGCAAAGTTCAAGTATTCTGAATGGTCAGATTAAACTAGACTAGCTTACCCTCTGGGTTGGCTCTCTTATCTCAGAAGACAATCTGAGTTGCAAGGGCTCTTTAGGAAATGATTAAAATCCACCTGCTCCAAAAAGCAAACTCTCTGAATGTGATCTGATCACATGTGTTGATATTTCCAGAAAGCAAACATTTGCAGATTGGACCAGGGCACTTAACTCAACCTTCCATTTAATCCAACAATGCATAAAAGCCACTTCCCTCCACCTTTTCGTCAATTTACAGAATTCAAATATATCAATGAGAACAACAACAACAAAATACCTGTCCGTACTTTTTTCAGAAAAAGAAAGCAGTTTAGTTCCTTAAATTTGAGTTTTTAGACCAATAAGAGGGAAAAGGACAAAAATCCCTTTGCCCTTTGCTTCCTATCCCTCAGGCTTTTTCATTTTCTAACAGGCAGTGTTGTTTCTTTTCAAAATACTCGTCTTTTAACACAAATTATGAGTCTTGGCCCATATATATACTGCGCACATTAACTCAGCCAGAATTTCAAAGGATGAGTTCTGTCAGACACCACTACTGTCACAAGTATATTGATTAAATTAGTCCACATACATATTCATCGCAGCAAAGAGGTTTATTGTGTAGCAGAATATCTGAAGCAAGACACACACATATAATCATGAATTGGCTTAACAATGCACAATCTTGCTATGAAAAATTCTAATTTGCCCACATTTTCAGCTCTATTGCCTAAATAATTTGCTCTCTCATGCACCCTCAGTGATTCAAGCATGCTCTCCACACCTGCAGAGGCAGTCTCTGCAGTTTCAAGGAGCTGACAACAAGTGGCAGCGGGGAGTCAGGAAATCCTGGAATGCAAGTGTGCTAATTAGCCAAAGTGGTCCTTGGGCTGGGCTGTCATTTAGCACTGTACTTCTGCAGAAGGTTGGATTTTTTAATTATAAAAGGGACGAGAACATGGACAATGGCATTCTTGATACCTCATATGCTCCTCAGAACCTTTTTTGGGAGATAATCTTGGTCCAGAGAAAAATACCTATTTCCCACAGAATTAAAAAGTATGACTGTACGAGAGTTGTACCCATTCTACGGGTGAAAGGTGATGGCATGATAATCTAATGGATTTATGATAACCAATAATATGCAACATGTATTGGGGCTTATAATGTGCGAGGCATTATATCCATTCCTCCAGTATCCTATGGGCGGGGAGCGACCATAATCATCATTATCTGCATTTTTCAGAAGAGAAAATGGCAACTCAGAGAGGCTGAACAACTTGCCTGACGTCAGAGAGCTAGGAAGAGGTAAGACTGGGATTTGGACACGTTTTGTCTTTTTGTTTAACTCCACAGTTTTTCCCCCTTTCCCACCATACTTCACAGCCAGGCTAAATTGCTCCAATAACCACATCAGGAACAGACTGCTATTAGTATACCGCCAACAACCAAGGATGCAAATGACACAGCACAAATAATTCGGTTAAAGTTACATAACTACTCAGAACTGATTTCAAGATATCTTTCTGGGAGTTACCTTACTTACTAGTACTTTATAACTGTAAGTAATCATCAACCTTCTAGACCGTTCTTCTCCATTTTATAAGATTCCAAGTAGAGTTTTTGACTGTAAGATAACTGACGCCAATGTTTAACAATTTTTAAGGCTGGGCAAATTACTTAACTTCTCTGAGCCTCAGTTTAATATCTGAAGACCCAGAGATACAATGTATAAATGATGTCACACAGAAATGATTATTTTATAGATGTATTCTCTCTCTATATATATATGCACATCACACAGTTGTTAGAAATATTTGGCACTCAATAAATAGTAGTTATTATTATTGTTATTGTTGATAAGAAATCCTGCC